GGGAGCTGCTAAATCAGTTGCACCAAACCAAATAAATCTGTCGAGCTTGCCATTCATTTCCGCAGCGCTATTCATCCTCAGGAGTTGCTGCTAAACAGGTCAACCACACCTCATCTTCAGCCACATCAGAGTCGTTCGGATTCCACGACCAATGGGCTCGCTTCGCATCCAAAATCCTCAGCCGCCCATCCCCAAATCTCGCGTCCCGATACATCGACAGCACTGGTTTCGGCTCCTTAAACATTCAATTAGATTCACATCCGAAAATCCCACGGTTTAAGTTTTCAAACTTCCGACCCAAAATAGTTATTTCGTAAGAGATAATAACAGTTTTCCTTACGATGGTTCAATTCCTCCATGGTACCCGCCAGTCCCAATTGTAATGTAGACCGGACCCGATGGATCAGCCTCATTGTCGTAAATCCTAGTCTGCACCCAAATCCCAGACATTAAATAAGGTTATTAGTCCCATTAATTATGTAGAATACGTTTCTAATTGCCCATTTCAATCAACGACTTACGAATCTTTCGTAGGCATGAACATGGCCAGCGAAGACAACGTCCACTCTAGCCTTATAAAGCAGCTCTTCCATGGCTACCCTCATCCCTTCCCCATCACCTTGATGCCCGTAGTTCGTATTGTACCACGGCATGTGCACCGAAACGACAACCCACGGGGTCGCTTTCCGATCAATCGCAGCCAAATCCGCCACAAGCCACTTGTACTGGTCCGACCCGAGTTCGAATTCGGTACAGGAACCCAGCATGATGACGTGGGCTCCTCCAGCCACGTCGAACGAGTAGTAGAGGTTGGAGGTGGACCCGCTCTGCTTATGTGGCATTAGCCACCTGGCATTGTATGCCCTGAAGGACTCTGCCACGCCAACCAGATAGCTCTCCATCTCGTGGTTTCCTTCCGTCACCATCCACGGACGCCGGCTAGCCGCCGGCTCCACCAGCCGGCCGAATGAGTCCCACAGAGGCTGCCTGTTGTTGGCGTAGGACAAATCCCCTGGGAGCAACAGCAAGTCGTAGTCTTTGCTTCCGAGTCCCTGCAGTGTTGACTTTGTCCAGTCGTTTTGACCCAAATCCCCTGGCATCCATCAAACAGAGTAATGACATGTTTGATAGATGGAAATTTTTATTTGTTGGGATATGATATGCCAGTCGTCGGAAAGATTTGACTTACCGACGATGGCGATTTCGAGAGGGAGAGTTGAGGGAGGGGTTTTGAAGGAGAATTCGGGGCCGTGGCCGCCACATCTGTAGTAGTAAGTGGTGTTGGGTTCCAAGGGTCCAATGCTCACATGGTGGATGGAACCTGAGGTATAGGTTAAGAACTTGTACGAACTGTTGTTGTCCCCGGTGGCCTTGGCGAGGTAAGTTCCCGGTTCGGTGCCATATTCGACGGTGGAAGGGACAGTGTTGTCGTCGGTTATCCAGGTGACTCTGATGCGGTCTATCCCCGCGATTGATATGTGGACCTGTTGGGGATCGGATGCAGAACCGTGGTGTGGAGTGAAAAAGACTCGAGGGGGGAGTGGATACAGCTCAAAGTTAGTTGATGCGTGGAATTCCATATCTCTGGAATTTAAGAGAAGTGGTCTGTTGGTCTCTCTGTTTCTTTTTTTCCTCTCTCTGTTTTAATGAGTTCTGCTTTGGTGCCTCCAAAGAACCCTGAGCCTTTACCTTGTATGCGTTTTAAATAGAAGGCAAAAGGCTTGGGAGAGGGAATTTCTGATTAAAGTAAGAAGACTAGACTTCTCCCATGTCAATCATTAGGAACTAAACTACGTTTCTTAACAACCAAATGATGACTTTAGACTTGCACCCATTAGGAAAATAAAAAACAATGTTGTTTTTAAATGTTTTATGTTGCAGTCTTGCAGAGGTTGCTTTTTCCTTGACCCTCAAGCAAAGGAATTAGAGTGGCAACTTCTTCGAGATGACCCAATCACCCAAGGAATAGAGGTTTCTTGCATGTCAATTATTAGATATTAAACTATGGCTCGTAACTACTTAAGGAATTTTGAAAACTCCAAACTACATTGTCATTTTCATTTCGTGCTGCAATTTGCATTTTCCTTGACCCACAAGGTAAAAAGCTCAAGGACAGTGAGTCAACTAAAGGGAGGAGAGTGGGCTGCAAATGAGCCAAGCCGCTCGCGAGTAACTCGGCGTTCAAATCGGAAAAAACTCGTTCGACACTCGACTCGTTGTTTAACAAGCCGGCTCGTTAGTAAAGGAGCCAAGCTTGAGCTAAGCCATGCTCGGCTTGATAAGCTCGTGAGCTAGCTTGACTCGGTGACTTGTTGAGCTAAGCTCGCGAGCTGGCTTGTTTAAAGCTTGTGGAAGGATTAATTACTGTTCTGAAAATGAAAATTATTATGTTAATAAGGATGTCTATGGAAGTTAGATGTTATTTTTAGTTTTAGTGTTCTTTTCATCATTTTTAATTTCTAATGTTCTTATTTTTACACATTTTTTCAACAAGAATGGTTTTAAATCGAGCTTATCTTGAGCCGAGCTTGTACTCAGCTTGACAAGCTGTGTTAATGAGCATTTACCGAGCTCTATCGAGCCGAGCTCGAGCTGGATTATTTTTAATCGAGTCGAGCTCGAGCTGGATGATGAAAATTCGAGTTCGAGCCGAGCTCGAGCTACAAAATATACAAACGAGCCGAGCTCAAGCTAAGCAAAAACTCGACTCGACTCGGCTCGTTTGCAGCCCTAAGAGTGGCAAAGGAAACAGGGGTTTCCTGGAATAAGGGGCATTTCTATGGTGCAGTAACGGCACAAGTGCCGCCATCATTTAAGTCGTTGGATCTGTTGTGTTTAATGATCATCATTGATTAAAACCAAACTTAACCAAATATGGTTCGACCAGTTATATATGGTTAAACCTATTAGTAATTCCAATTCATTATTATAAATTACTTTTAATTATCAACGGAAAGAAAATTTAGGGGTCATTTGCTTGTTGGATTTGGGTCATGGATTTGGTACCCAAATCCCAAACTTGATGGATTTAACATAAGTCCATTGTTTGTTGAAGGGTGCTAAATCCGTGGGGTCCACGGATTTGGTCTTTATTTTGAAACCAAATCCGTGGACCCCACGGACTTTTAAATCCCACATATTGATTTGGGATTTGCAAATCCTTGATGGTTAGTTATTTATTTAACAAATCCATCATCAAATCTATCATGCAAACATTAGACTCTTCAAATCCATAATCCAATAAATCCAACATAAATCTCAAGGTTTTTATTGGCCAAAACCCTCATTTTTCAAATCCAACAAACAAACGACCCCTTATTTGTTTCTGAAAAACCCTGCTTCCCTTCCCTGTAGTTCCACTAATCGACGACAGGAAGTGAAAGTCAACACCGGCAACAGAATTAATCATTTCACAGCAAAGCCACATTCTTCGCTTCATTTTGATCAATATTCCTATTATCTGGCATTGCAACGACGGATTTCCCAGACAGCCGCTAAAACGAATTCTACTCCGACAAAGTTTTTAACTGGCATCCTCCCTCCGTATAGTTACACTTGGGGCCGCGGCAAGAACGCTAATGGCGGTGCCGCGGTGGTGATTCTGAATGACTAGGTATCGGGATCTGAGCGCAATGACTGTGCGTATAGCATCGGCGGCAGATACGATGCTTGTTATGCCGAACGACAGCAATATAGTTTTAGCGGTGGTGATTCCGACTAACAAGAAATTCGGAATCTGAGTGCGCGATGGCCGAGTGTCTGGCAGTTGTGGCGGCAGCGGCGGGGGGGCAATGTTAGTTATGTTGCGGCGGCGGTAGGAACGATGATGACGGTGGTGATTCCGACTGAGGATGTATTCGGTATTGCGTGATGATGATGTAACGGCGATGAGATGATGATGGTGGCCAGGTCGTGACTTCAACCGACGGAGGAGCCGGCTTCCCGATGATGGAGAAAGAAAAGAAATAAAGGGGAAAAGAGGAATGGCCGTTGCCTTCTGTTTTTGTAATTTTGTATTATCAATTTCGATAATCAATTTAATATCAAATCAAATAAAATCAGACCCAATAAATATTGTATAAACCATTTCAAATCAAACCCATTTTATTTGAACCGGCCAAGATAAATGGCGGCACCGGTGCCGCAACGGCACCACAGAATTTGCCTGGAATAAGGGAACTCAGTTCTATGAAACTACAACTATTCCTTAAAACGCTACATTTCTCGCAAAGTTTGTCTTCAATAAATGTCACGTTGGCAACATTACAGAAATAAAATAAAAATTAATATGATTAGGTGATTGGGACTTCCATCACGATTACGGTCAATTAGTTGGCGCGCCTGAAACTTAGGAACAACGATCTCTTGTGAGACCATGGGCTTCCAAGCAGCCGTGGGCATCCTCGCACGGAAGCGCAATAACCCCCCTTTTCACTTGGGTGGTTACAGACTTACAATTCTAAGGGGGTGGTTTCTCTTTTGGTTTTCTCAACAGTTACGTTTTGTGGATAACATGTTTCAGATACTCTTGTACTCTCTTTATTCTTGTCTCTCCCTCACACTAACTTGGTTCTTCAACTTGGTTTTTAAGAAAGTGAATTCAACAGTTGGTGGTGAGTATGGATCCTATGGATGTTGATCAATTTGTTGCTTTTGCGATTAGGATATTGATATAGGTCCGATAAAGCGCAAATAAGTTTCTTTACCAATTGCTTGATTCAAAGCTTCATTGGGATTCAAGTGGAAAGGAATGTTGGATTTTATGACATACCAATTACTCCTCCGTTTCTGCTATTAGTTGCGTGTCCCGACGATAGTGTTGTTTGTCCGTGACTAGACTACGATAGAGTAGCAGCCATCGGAAACCTTAGGAGCTTTTTTTTTATCTAATACCATATGAATTTAGAGGTGGATTAACAACGGCTAATAGCTACTAAACCAAACAATGTAGTTTTGGACTTAAGCACATGTTGAAGTAAATTAACTTGAAACGTTTCTTCACTAAGACTTCTTCTTCCTCATGTAATCCAGTTGCAATTAGGATTTGCATATTCAGCTGATCCCCATTGTTACTTACTACTGCAATTCGGCTCACAGTAGTAAGCAAACCAAACAGCTGAGATTCATCGATCCCGCATTACCACTAATCATCTCGAGCTGCGCTTAAACACGTCAACCACACCTCGTCCTCAGCGACATCCGAGTCGTTGGGATGCCATGACCAATGGGCTCGTTTCTCATCCAATATCCTCAGCCGCCCATGTCCAAACCTTGCATCTCGACACAACGATAACGCTGGAGTTGGCTTCATAAACCTTCATTTATTTTCACATCCAGCAATCACACCGTTTAAATTTGTTACTACCCAATTAGTTTCACTGAAAATAGTTAATGAGAATAATAGCACTGCTTACTGTGAGTAAACTCCACTATGGCACCCGCCAGTCCCGATAGTGATGTAGACTGGACCCAACGAGTTAGCCTTGTTGTCATAAATCCTAGTCTGCAGCAAAATCCCAGAGCATTAAACAAGAGTAGTCCCAGTGATCAAGTAAGCTAATTGGCCCATTAACTATTTTTAACAGAGCCTTACGAATCTTTCGTAGGCATGAATATGACCAGCGAAGACAACATCCACTCTAGCCTCATAAAGCAGCTCTTCCATGGCTGCTCTCATCCCTTCCCCGTCCCCTTGACGCCCATCGTTGGTATTGTACCACGGCGTGTGCAACGATACGAAAACCCACGGCGTCATTGTTCTGTCGATTCGGGCCAAGTCGGTCACCAGCCAGGCATACTGGTCCGACCCGGATCTGAATTCGGTGGAGGAGCTGAGCATCATGACGTGGGCTCCTGCGACGTCGAACGAGTAGTAGAGGTTGGAGGTGGACGCACTCTGCTTGTGTGGCATTAGCCACCGGGCATTGTATGCCTTGAAGGACTCTGCCTCGCCGACCAGATAGCTCTCCTTCTCGTGATTTCCTTCCGTCGTCATCCACGGACGCCGGCTGGCCAGTGGCTCCACCAGCCGGCCGAACGAGTCCCACAGAGGCTGCGTGCTGTTGGCGTAGGATAAATCCCCCGGTAGCAGCAGCAAGTCGTAGTCTTTGCTTTCTAGCCCTTGTAGTGTTGATTTTGTCCAGTCTGTCTGACCCATATCCCCTGCATACATACATGAAACAGGGGTTTTGTGAAAAAAATTTGTTGACATGTAAGTTGTGAGTCTTGTGACAAAAATTGACTTACCAACGACGGCGATTTTGAGGGGGAAGGTTGAGGGAGGGGTTTTGAAGGAGAATTCTGGGCCGTGGCCGCCGCATCTGTAGTAATAAGTGGTGTTGGGTTCCAAAGGTCCAATCCTGACATGGTGGATGAAACCTGAGGTATAGGTTAAGAACTGATACGAACTCTTGTCTCCGCCGGCCACCTTGAAGATGTAATTTCCCGGTTCGGTGCTATATTCGACGGCGGAAGGGACTGTTTTGTCGTCGGTTAGCCAGGTGATTCGGATGTGATCTATCCCCGCGATTGATATGTGCACCTGTTGGGGATCTGATGCAGAACCGTTGTGGGGAGTGAAGAAGACTCTAGGAGGGAGTGGAACTAGCTCAAAGTCAGTTGATGCATGGAATTCCATATTTGGGACTAACGAGAAGTGATCAAAAAGTAACTTGTGGTGTGGTGCAATAATAATGAATAGTAGCTAGATTCCGTTTCTGTTTATCTTCCTCTCTGTGGGTTGTGCTTTGGTACCTCCAAAGAAGCTTGACCTCCTATACGTTCAAATAGAAGGGTCAAAAGTATTGGGAGTTGGAATTTCTGGTTAAAATAAGAAGACTTGACTAGAGTTCGGCAATGTTAGTTATCAGGTATGTTTCTTAACTACCAAACGATGACTTTAGACCTAGACTGATTAGAACAATGAAAACAGAGCTGTTGGTTTCATGTTGCAGATTGCTTTTTCCTCAACCCACAAGCATAGAAAGCAGAGTGGCAACTTCTTCGCGATTGTCCGAGGAATAGAGGTTTCCTAGGAAGCTACAACCAATCTGTGCATCAACTTAAATATCCCAACATTCACAAACACTGGAACGTTCTTTGTAGAATAGGGGTTATTGATCAATTGACCTCAATGTTAAAGTGAAACTTCTCCAGATCAGTTCCTTTAAAAATCCCCGGCGTATAAGTATAAACTATTGATCATACAGTGTACAGAGCCGGGGAAAAGAATGGGCTAAAATTAGAAAGGAAAGATCGACCTACAGTGTATACGCGGGAAAAGGGTGGCTAATTAAACTTCATCCAGACTTAGATCATGATGCCAAGTTATCCAACCACACTTCATCTGCCGGTTGTTCCTCGGAGTCGTTGATCCGGTGCCACGACCAGTGTGCTCGTCTCTCGTCCACAATCCTCAATCTTCCATGTCCATGTTGTGCTTCCCTGTACAAGGACAGCCGGGAACCAGGAGTCTTGAAGCTTCATTTCCCCACAACAACAACAACAACAAGAAAAGACTAGTCAGTTCATTCCTCGACATATAGAGTTGGATTTGGCCTCAAGCAGGAGAAAGCACTCACTTTAGTTCAAGCCCTTCATGGTTTCCCCCAGTACCGATGGTTATATACACCGGCCCACGCGGGTCTGCATTGTTGTTATAAACCCGTGTCTGAAATCAAACCGCCATGGGCCAATCACTTAGTTGCAGAGAATTAGAGGACAATGAACAAGAGAACAACAAAGGGCCAAGACTCACGAATCTTTCATACGCATGAACGTGGCCTGCGAAAACGACATCCACTCTTGCCTTGTACAACAACCCTTCCATGGCCTTCCTCATGTCTTCTCCTTCCCCCGAATGCGCATAGTTAGTGTTGTACCACGGATCGTGCAAACAAACTATGAGCCACGGCGTTCTCTTCCTGTCTACTCTCGCCAAGTCGTTTATCAGCCACCTGTGCTGGGCCGAGCGGGGCATGAACTCGGCATAAGAACCTAGCATGACGACGTGGGCACCTGCAACATCGAACGAGTAGTACAAGTTTGAGGGCGAGCCGCTTTCTTCGTATGGCATCCGCCATCTGGCGTTGTAGGCCTTGAAATCGTTGGAGCCCCGCACAAATATGCACTCCATCTCGTGGTTTCCTTCCGTCACCATCCACGGACGACTGCTGGCTAATGGCTCCACTAAACGACCAAATTTGTCCCACGATGGTTGGTCGCAGTCCGCGTAGGATAAGTCCCCTGGCAGCAAGAACACGTCGTAGTTGCTTCTGTTGACATGCTCCAAGTTCAATTTCGTCCGGGAGGTTCGGCCAAGATCACCTGCAATGTGCTAGATGCTATGAACTATGAAGAACCCTGTTTTGATAAAGCATTTTACCCTTCATAATAGACTTACCAACAACCGCAAATTCAACTGGAAAAGTTGCAGGAGGAGTCTTCAAGGAGAATTCAGCAGAGTGTCCGCCACATGTGTAGTAGTAAGTGGTGTCGGGCTCTAAAGGTCCAATCTTCACATGGTGTATCTTACCAGAGGTGTATGACATGAACTTATATGAAGTGTGCTCCCCGGTTGCCTTGTCCTCGTATCTGCCCGGTTCCTTTCCATATTCTACGGTGGAAGGCACTTGCTTGTCAACTGTTATCCATGTGACTCTCATGTGATCTCTTCCCACCACGGATACATGCACCTAGCAGAAGAAGTTACACAAAATTCAAGTTGCAGAACAATGGTGAATGTGGTGAAAAGAATCAAACGATTATGGCGAATTGGAAGGAAAAAGGGGACCTGCTGAGGCTGACATGGTGATCCCATCACGGCCCTTTTCAAAGCTGAGATCGCTCCTTTCGATTGACCTATTTTGAAAACTTTAGAAACCCTAAAAAAGAGTAACTCTCTCTCTCTCTCTGACTTCAAAACTGAACTCTACTTGTCTTAGTGATAAAACGATGAAATGTTGATCACTGAACCCTTTTCTATATATAAGTAAGAATCCTTCCCTAAGTAGAAGAGAATAAACTTATCGAACTTCCTAAATAATAAAAGCTATTATTATAACAAATAATGCGGAAATAAATAAGAACAATAAGGGAAAATTGCGAGAAAGGGTTGATACTGGATAAGAAATAAAGCAGAGGGCAAAAAGGAACTGCAAGGGTATCAAGCAAAGTTCACTAGGGTTTGATTATATGCTCCAAAGAATCTTCTCCATTCAAGGCCTAAAAGTTTAATTTGTGAGCAACAACTCTGAGTTACTGTATTGATCCCCGCCACTGATTCTATCAATTCGGGCAAATTAGCCAAAGAGGAAAGCTGAGGACTTGCATAATTACTACAGAGCAATTAGAGGATCCTGCAGGTTGAATTACCTTTCTGGAGGGGAGCAGCACCGGAAGCCATGGCAGGGAAATAGAACGCGGTAACTGTCATCTCCACCAAGGCCTCTCTTCTTCCTGAGCCCAATAGCTCTCCACCGAGATATCTGCAAGGTCGATACTGTCAGCAAAAACTTGAATGTCGAATCGCAGCAGGTGAGAGGAAATGGCTTCGGAAATAAACTTTTCAGCTTGGGATTTACTTACATGGGTTCGTGTCCTTCCGAAGAATAGTGCCCAATGGCTGAGTTCTGATTTTTGTATTTGCTCCGCCGCCAGATGAGGCGGCCTGAGTAGCAGGCGGCGGAGGGGAGACCGGAGGCGGTGTGAGGAATGAAATCCGGCGGAAGAAGGGAGGAGGGGTTGAGAGAGGAAGAGGAGGGTGAAAAAATTGGCGCCATTCCTTCTCTCGCTAACTTCCCCCCCCTCGATCCCGGATTTTGCTCTCGCTTCCCCCGGCTTTGTTTCGGCCGTTATATTTTTATTTATCGCTTATTTATTTATTTACCATTTTTCCCGGTCCAGAATTATTTATTTATATTCTTGCGTTTTTATTTATCGGAACAACTTCCCGCTTTTTGGGAAGAGAAGGCATAGGCCACATATGCAATCGAAAATATCACACGCCATTTTCTACCTACATATGATAATACATTTTCATGTTCGACGTGCCAACAATTTATGGTTTAATATCAAACAAGACCTGATAATTTTGTCTCTAATCAATCTGTTTGTGCCACGATACTTTCTCACCCGAGTGCGCCTACTTCTCTCCACATCGAGCGCTTGGGCCCTGCAAGACTAACGCCTAGAGGGCTAAGCCCACCCGTTAGCACTCCGACGACAAAGTCAATAGTGATTCTAGAGAGAGACGTGAAGAGAGAAGTTTTAGTGTGAGAAAACCGACCCGCTTAAATGCTACCTACCGGGTGCTATTTATACTACTCGAGCTCCTCGACCAAGCTCCGACCAACTCCTGCCACCCAGCCTTACGTCAGCCCAGCATTAAATGCCTGGTCTGGTCTAACGCCTACGCGCCTACACGTGGCACGCTGTCCGTCCTCCACGTCGGGGCGCATAGGGGGACCACCTGTCTCGTGGCGCCCTTCCGACTTTGCACATCCGTACTTCCTTGTCCACGAGTCTATTTTGTCGCTATGCGCCCCTCTTCCCTCAGGGCTACCTAGGTCATGCCCTAGATAAGCCATAAATGGGCTTCAGGGCCAACAGGCTTTTGACTTTCATGGGCTTATCTCTATTACCCCAACAATTGCCCCCCAGTTAGGTGCTCACAGGTGGGCGCCTAACTATGATCCTATATATATGCGCAATTTCCAGAGGCGTGGGACAATTCGAAGGCACGCCCTACTCGATTGATCCTTGACCTTTCAACCAATGGGGCGCCTGGGTCCAGCTTGCCCCCCTCTCCATGCGTTACGATTTTCTACTTTTCGTACTTATTTTATTGGACACCGCTATTCGGCTTAGAGGGGCGCCCGCATTCACTTCGCTCGTTGCCCTTGCGCCTTCCTTGATTTTAATGCATCCGCTGTAGTTTGCGCACCCGATCCACGTACCTAGCGCGCCTATCATGCGACCAATCAATTCCCTCATCTTTAATGCGTCCGTCGTGTACCCTCGTATCGAGGCGCGCGACCGTACTTCTCGCCCCCACTCGCGCGTCCGTTCAAAATTCGAATTTCAAAATTTAAATTCGAATTTTGAACGGAGGGCGAGGATTTGCCCGTTAAGCGCACGCACATCTCGAGGTGACCCTTCATCTCCCCCTCCTCTTATAAATACACACTTTCCTCTCCTCCATTCTTCATTCGCCCCAAACTCGTTTCTCTCTCTAGCTGTTCTCTCTAATTGCTCTCCCCTCTCTCTAGCCCGCGCGCCCCGCTTCTCTCTTACCTGTGCGCCCGACTTTGCTTTGCAAGCTTGTCTCAATCAGATTCTGGTGCAACTAACAACTCCACCGAAAGGGGCGGAAACGTGGCACCCAGCGTACTCGACGTGCTCGAGCAGCACCTGTCTCCCGACCCGCTTCGAAATCAAGACCAATGGGTGTCTCGATCCCACAAGGAGGCGCCTAAGAAACCAACATCCATCCCTTCTCCTGCGCCCATCAACGAGGAGGCGCCTACAGCAGAGACGGTCTCGGCTGCACCCGTCACCACTACACAAGCGCCTGTCGCGACCAATCAGGGTAATGCCCTTTTTCTTCTGTTTTTTAAATTTTCCAATTTGTTTTGAACCTTTGCTAGGCGCCCACAAGAGGTCTTGGGTCCCTAGTATTGACCAAAGGCGCTTGGATCACTTTTAGGCTCCGCGCCTACCTCGTCAGAGTCGAGTGATTTGGCCATTTCACCGACATCCACCGACTCAGGCGCCCCCGAAGATGGGTCGTTCAAGATAGTTGCTTGGGAAGATACATGGCCGCAAGGGGAGGCGCCCGGTAACACCAGCAAACTGTCCGTGAGGCGTGCCGGGCCAAAACACACGTCCACCATCAAGATAGTAGAAATGCATCGATTGATTACCTCCTGCAATCTGTCTCGCACATGGTCCTATGCGCCTGCATCTCCGATTGCGAGGATAGGAGCAATTGGTCCACGGTGGCTCGGTATATATAGGGAGTATTTTAAATTCGGGCTACGCTTCCCTTTAGATTTGATTTTGGAATGAATCCTCACCACATGCGGCGACCGCTTCATCCGGGATTGGAAAATAGGTAGTACCACACACTTCAATGTTGATGTGGACTTATCCGATACTGAGAAAGAGCACGCGTGCCTATTATCCATCCATCCGGTGAACCTTAGTTCCACAGCCGCTAGGACTCCTGTCTTACATGAGTACTACGCCGACGGTAGGTAGGCGCCTAGTAGCGCATCCGTGTTATTGAAAAGTTTGAATGCGCTCATGTTCTTTTATTCACGTATAACGGTCATCATGCCTTTACTTATTCATTTGTGCTTTGCTGTAGGTGTGGATTACACCACCATTGCCTCCTTGATGAAGACCCAACTTGAGGGCTTGGGTCTAGACTATAAGGCGTCTGACTTCGGCGGCAAAGCAACCGCACGCCCACGGAAGGGCGCTTCGAAGAAAGGGAAGAGAAAGTCTTCCTCCTCCGGAGTTAAGACCGATGCGCCCGTCACTGCCAAGCAAGGAAAGGGGCACTCAAGCCCGCGGCGTATCAAACCACAAAAGGCGCCGAGTGTCTCCCAAGTAGAGGAAGAGGTGGCGCCCATCGCCGTGCAACCCGACGTGGAGGCGCTTACGACCAACATTCCTTCTGACCCCGAGTTGGATATCGACGATGTCCCTCTTGGGGAGAAATTGAAGAGGAAGCAGACGGGGGATGATTCCTCGGCGCCCAGCAAGAACCAGCGCACCAGCGCAGAGGAGCAAGTCCCGGCCTTTGTCGAAAAATGGCTACAACCACCAAGACTTAGGGTCAATATCGCTTGCTCAGACAGATCTGCTTTGGAGAGAGGCTCCGCGCTTGGGTTTGCCTTTCATGCGTCCGAGGTGCTGAGGGCGCCCAGTGGGGTTGAGGGCGCGAACTTATGGGGAGAGGTCGCACGCCTGGGTTCCCAGGTATGCGCTTGGACGTGCCTTCCTTTCATACACATTGTACATATGCAACTATCGTTGACTTGCTATTTTTGTTGATCTTCTTTGTTAGATGTTGTTCCTTGCCAAGAATGGCGCATTGACAAACGAGGCGCTGCGCGTTGGAGAGGCGGAGGCCTGCAACTCTCTTAGCGTGATGAAGGATGATTTAGAGACTGCGCAGAGGCGCCAGACGGAGCTAGTTCAAGCATGCGAGGATGCCAATCTCGAGGCTGCAAAAGCAGCCTCCCTCGTCCAAAAGTCCATTGATGAGGAAAAGCAGAAACTGAAATCGGAGTATGAGGCCCAGCTCGAGACTGCCAGAAGGGCGCATCATGAAGAGGTTGCCAAGCTTATGAAGGAAAAGGACGATCTGGACAAGGAGGCGGGCGCCCAAAGGAGCGAGATTGACCTCCTTATTGAAGAAAAGAAGGCGTTGCAAAAGGAGAAGAAGATCCTAGCCAAGGAGAATAAGAGGCGCCAAGAGGAGCTGGAGGCGCTTAAAGCGGAGAAAGTTGCACCAGAGGCGCCTACATCAGACTTGGCGCTAAAGGCTCAGGCGTCCCTCAACAGCATCCTCATTCTGAAGAAGAAGCTCGAAGCTGACCACCCTACCATCAACTGGGATGTCAAGGAGATGGCCAACTTTGTGATTGAGTTCATGTCAAGTGGGCGCCCCATCGTCGATGCTGCGCCTGCGCCTCTTGAGGAACCCGCGGGTGAAGAAAGCTCGGATTCAGGCTCGGAGTCCAGTGATGATTCGGAAGGGAATGAGTAGGATCATTTTACGTAGTATTTGACATTATCCCTTGTGCGTCTATTTTCTACATGTTTGCATGCTTTGTAGAACTCCTGGGCGCCTGCTATTTTGCGAGGTGTTTGTCTTCCTAACATTTTTATAGGCGCCTACTACTCTCTTATAATCTATGCGTCTGGATTTTACCGATACCTTACTCCCATTCCTTAATCCATTTCTGCTATATCTTGAGTGGCATGATAGTCAGGACGCTTAAATGGGGTGCATTACTTTCATCTCTTAGTAAGGGCACAAGTATTGGGTGCAAGGGCGCATTAAGTGTGTCGGGCGCATTAAGGGCACAAGGAATGGGTGCAATAGACAAGTTAAAAAAAATGTATATATATGTATTCTAATTTCGAAAAAAAACCTTGGGGCGCTATTTCCGGGCGCTTAAAGGGCGCTTTACATAAATGTTACGGGCGCGTGAGGGCGCTTTGCAGTACTATAGGCGCACGTAGGCGCTTCTCCCTACTCCTACCAGAAAACTCCCCAAGGCTTGGCGTTTTCCCTCGTAACTACCACTCTCTAGGCGCCCCTTCTGGCACTCTGCCCTCTCCCCCTGCCATATTTGCTTCCATAAACCCGTACCTTCACAGGTTTTGCGCATTCCAAGTTCTTTTGACTTTCTTTCCCGACAAGTGCTCCAGCTTAAACGTGCCCGGCCCAACTACCTCTTGCACACGATACGGCCCCTTCCACTTTGGTGCCAACTTCCCCTCGGTGGCTTTTGGGCGAAAGTCACGCTTCAGCACCAAGCTCCCGGCCACTATGTCATGCGGGCGCATCTTCTTGTTGTAATACATGGCGACCTGTGCTTTCATTGCTTCCAGGCGCAGAGCCGCTCTTTTGCGACGCTCATCAAGGAGATCCAACTCATTGATCCGTTCATGTTCCTCCATTGACTCCCCCTTATGCGCCATTCGAAAGGTCGGAATGCGGACCTCCACAGGCAACACCGCTTCGCTTCAGTGCGAAGGGCGTTTCCCCCGTGGCGACTTTGAAGGTGGTTCTATGCGCCCATAGGACGCTCGGAAGCTCCTCAAC